AGCAGTTTTCTCAGGCTGCTGGCCAGACCATTGCAAATAATACAAGAAAAATAATAAAGCACCTTTCCTTTTCACCTCTGCTTACAAAAACCCCCAAATTTCTTCAAGGTTGTGTTTTTGATAGAAGCAAGGTGTTCTAATGGTCCTACAGCAAACTGCAGAATTGCTAACTACGCAATGAAACGCCAGGGATTCGCACTCAAATACTTCCAATACTGTCTACGTTTGGCATTCCATGGAATACGCATGTCATCTGGTAAAAACTCGGAAGTGATGGGCGTTAGCGTCTCGGTAAGCGTTTGCTTTTATTTAGAATTTTATGCTGCAAAACTTGCATAACAGACCAGGAACTTCTTATCACTTAGTTAACATAATGAACATTTAAAATGCAGTATTTCACAAAAAAATAGCTTATCTGCTATGAACATGAACTAAGTTCTCAAATTTTCTATCAATTATAAAGTCAGGGAACTATACCTGTTAAAGTGCACATTTTACATTCAGCATTAAAATAGATAAGGCACTTTAATTATTAAAAGATAAAACTGTTATTAACAGGGTTAAGCAACTTGATTAAAATAAATGGATAACTACTGCTCGTCTGCATTGTAGATGATGATTTTTTCCTTCACCAGAACAGCAATCTCTGCAGGGCAGGAACACTGAAAGAAATGACTGATCCCCCTCCAATATTTACTGAGTAAATAAAAGCAACAACAACATAGGAACAAGCAGGGTTTTTTCTGTTCTGTTAAGCATGGATGACAGCACCTCACGTCCCAGCTCAGGTTCTTACCAAGACAAAAATCCCGCTATGTTGCGGGCTTTTAGGAAACACAAAATCTGTATTCAGAATATGAACGTAGGAAAGTAACACTGCATGTCTTCAGACATGTATCAAGAGGCCCAATTTTAGAGAAGTCCTACATACAAACACCCCCGTATAAGTTTCTAGGGAGATAACACAGGCGGCAACGAGGCCAGAATAGGAATTGGATTCTGCAGTTTCTATAAACATAACGGTCTGTTTTGTTTGCTGCATAAAGGGGTAAAGCAATGCAAAAGAACAGTTAACTTGGAAGAAAAGCTTTCTTCTATAGTTGCAAGAGTCCTCTTTGTTTACTTGCGTCAGGTGTCAAGTGTTAACTCCATATGCAGGTGAATTTGGAAATCGTATTTCAAAGGCCCCAAGAATTTTTAAAAATAATCATGCAAGTCCCCTTGAAGAATACACAGTTGAACATTTAGGACAAATTAGCAAGGTGTAGATCCGAGTAACTCTTCGACTTCCACACAGCTCAGTGTTCCGATACTTATTGTTTGTTGTGTCAAAATACAAAACCTGTTCTGTTATTCACTTGTACGTTGTAGGAAGCACTGCACAGGACCAACACCGAGAATAACCTGTGTTCAGTAAAAGACTTCACCTCCACCTTCAGCACTCTGTATTCTTTTTAACCTCTGTCTTCAGCACGACATCAATTTCTTCATAAATAGCTCTGAAAGAAGAGGGACAGGGCAAGTCCTACATCACAGCTGTTTCATTTTGACAAACACACCTATGAAATCCTGCCCAAGCATCAACTGCCAAGAGTTTATAGTGTTTGCCTAACCAAGTAGCATCAGTTGCAGGATGCCCAGGTTTCCATGGAAACAAAGAGCCAATCCTGCGGTGCGTCTGTGATTATACATTTAACGAGATATCTCTGGACATTGCCACTTTTGATGAAATAAATTTGGGAACAGGACTGCAAAACGCAAGTGACATGCATACTGCGTGGCATGCAATTACTGCACTAGTTAAAAAAAATAAAGCTTTGTTGAGATTTTTCTACCTCAGAATTTGATGGTTCCTCAGAAATAAGTTTTGTGTCGATGGCTCAAATTTTTTGCAATTTACTGGTAGAAAGGAGAGTCCTGCCATCCGTTTAGTTTCGTATTAGTTTTCTGTCTGACTATTTGTAGCTTGTACTTAAATTGAGGATTTTCTTGATATGCAGTAGAACAACATTCTTAACAATCACGATTGCTGTGAACAGGAATTACTTTGGTCGCCTTGCTCCAGAACTACCTGTGTTGAAGTGTCAATCAGCTTCCTCCACCAGGACCCTTACCATGTTTTATTCACCTTTTCATATCACTGAATAGGATTTTAGTAAATTGTTTTTGACACAGCATTACTCCACCATTTTTACAGATGCCGTTCAATGAACCCACTATAGGAGTTTATTCCTTAATTGGTTACGCCAGAAATATTGGAAGAAAACTTACAAAATGCAGCCGCTCTCATTTACATTAGCGATCCGGTTGGTCAGCTAACTCAGCCTAAATAGCGCGGTCTGTTTTCTCACTCAGAAGACAGAGCCATGTCAGAAGCCTTCTTGCCTTTGGCACCTAAGAAAACTGTATATTATCTATTTTAAAAGTTACTTACTCAGTAGGAGCCAAGGGATCAAATTCCATTATCTCATAGTAATGAGGTGACTGTGACTTGTTCTTTGATGCAGCTGAAGAATAAAGACAGGCAGATAAATCCAGATTTAAATGTAAATGAAAAGCATGCTTACTCCATGTTAATTTTTTTTGTATCTTCCTGAAAGTAGCAGATTATCTCCTATACATCTAGTTGCTTTAAATGCTAAAACGGACAGACGTGTCTAAGAGAAGCCATGAGCAATATGGTATTTTGTCAATGTTTGTTGCTGCTCCTAGTCTTTAACAGCCATTATGTAAAGCCCTTAAGTTCTAACAAGAAAAACATATCTCCGTGAAAGTTAGGTGGTCTGCAGTATTTCTTACCTGCTGGTGACGGTCCATTTAATGATGTAGTATGTCCAGTCTGCAGATTTACTGGATTCAGAGGCACTGGACTTAAAAGAGTTGCCAGCTAAGGACATCAAGCAAAACAGTGCATAAACAGGTTGTTCTATGAGAACTGGTTTGACTTAACTTACGTAACTGGCGACTTATCTTTAGACTCTCAGACTATAACAGGTAGATTCTAAGGTCAACAGTTATTAATCTAATCAATCTCCATTCTCCACAAAAAGTTCAAAACATCTTTTAGTGTTATCTATAGCACATTTGTATAATTTACTTCTGTGTAACTTGTTACATTACACAGACTCAAACAAAGACCGCACGGGTATCTGCTTTTACTTGCGGTTTAAAATAGGGAATATGCGTGTGTGTTTGGGGGCTGCTTCTCATCTTTTCTGTTTCATACTGCCTACCACAGAATAGCATTCAAATTCATAACATTACCTCAAAGCCCCTTCATATTCTTTCCATTCCTTCTGTCATGGGTGTTTTGCCTGCAGCATATGCCATTTGTCCTACACTGTGCTTGATTTTTAAGTGTTTGGGGTTTTTTGTTTGTGTGTTTTTTGGTTGTTTTTTTTTTTCCCCATATCTTATTTGAGATAGGAAATACACCAGAGTAAGATAACAGCAGCAGGAGGAGATCTCAGCTTGCTTCACACAGCAACAGATTAAACACAAATAATACAGCAACTGCTTTTTGCAGACTCCCCTGAGATTGTGCCGGACCCAAGAAAATATGCTTTCATATTAGCATCTGTGGTATCAAAAGAGGAAAGCTGGCCTGGTCACCAAATACAGAGTGTTCCCTGATGTATGGAGAAGGGCCACGGAATAGATCTTTTCATCGCATTTGGACAGTAGTCAGGGTAAATCCAAACAGTTCTCATTTTGACAGTTGCCAGCAAAGAATCACTATTCTGAACATGAGCGTTACTCACATTGCTATATGAATGTCCAGCTGGGTTGCTTACACTATTGTTTTGTGCTTCAGTTGCAAATCTAAGAGAGAGTAAGACATTGAAAGTAACTGAGAAACTATCAAAACTGTATATTCCGATTGTTACATTATTTTTTTTGTTGGTCTGTCTTTACCTTATGTCACAACTGAGAGCAGCAGGGGCAGGTGGGCCAGTGTCCCATTCACATAAAAGGCAGGGAACTACAAGGACACCTCTCCTATCTTAAACTCTTCTTACTGACCCGTACAATTCATCTGCTTCTCCCTTTCACTGCAGCATTGGCAACACTCAAGCAGAAGGTCATATATCTCTGAAGTATGTTTTGACCGTTGAGATAAATTTATGTCTATGACTAAACAGTGCTGCAGGAGTAGTGTATTTTTAAGCATGCTGAGCAATGTCAAGCACACAGGTAGTTTTCACTTGTTTTACTGGACTAATGTGTAAAAGTAGTAAATCTGTGTTCTCAGAGCTTGCTATAAACTCATTAGATGAATTACAGAGTACTAATACCTCTGAAGATCTGTTATTTGTTACCATTTCTTAACAAGAGATTACTCACAGGAATTGCTGAGCTTTTGTAGTAGTTGCTAAATCTAGCTGTGGATAAATTGATGGATGATGCCTGTTTTTAT